CCTTTATGATTCTATGATTCTATGATAAGGTTGGCATACGAGGTAGGTTACAGATGTGATCCTGTGCGCACGTTGGCATATGAGACTGAATTTTACCTGTTCCCCAATGTCTTTTGGCTGATCCCCCATGGCCACTCTCGCAATTCCAGGAAGATCAATTAGTGTCAGATCTGGGACATCTGGGGACCGAATTTCTAGGGAAATTAGTTCTCCACTAATGGCACCTCTGGTACCAGCCACGACATCCTGGGCTGCAAGGAGAAAAGAGCAAGGCAATGAATACAAGTTTCAAACAATGCATTAAAGCAAAGCTGAACACAATGACTTTGAAAAGTATCTACTGCCACCTAAGGTTCTTTCAGGCTTGGCTTTTTTCAGATCCAGCCATGCACATAACTCCATTAATGCAAAAATCTAAGGAAATTAATGTGCAATACGTGGATATGTGGAGTCCTTTTGGAATGCGAACTGTAAACAGTGAACTCTCATATATGCAGACAAAATACATGCAAATAAAGCACAACAAAAGTGATCGGATATGACACTGGTCAGTTGCAGAAATGATTCCTCAACATCAAGGCACCTTTTAGGCATTAACTGGCTGCCTTGAGAGATAAATAGGTGTTATTCTATATTCACACTTTGATAGTGAGGTTGAGAGATCAAGTAATTGATCACAACTCTTTTAACGCAATAATGTTAGAACTGTGAACAGTACAAAGGAGCAAGGAAACCCCATAGTAATTCTCATGAGAGATTTTCAGCCCTGTAATTATCTTAATCCATTCATACCACTTGCCTTGCCAGTTTTGGAAGGATATATTGAAAATATTCAAATAATAAATTGAAAAGCTAGTAAAAAAACATTAGGATAAATGACAACGTTGTAGAGCTGTGCTAGTCAAGGAAATAAGGACAATCCAACTTTCACATTTACGACAAGTTCTTACTACCCTCGGGGTGAGAAAAATGTTTTCTTGCACTGCATGAAATGCCATAAACGTAAAGCTGTGACAGGGGAAGGCTGATGTTTGAGATTGTGGTCACACTTGCTGGCAGAAGCCCTCCATGCTGCCCTCTTGAAATTTTCTCCAAAATGATAAGATTTCCAGCCACAGACACCTCAAGTATCCCTTGAGCTTTTGAGCTGATGACAGGAACCATTTAGGGCTTTGCAAGTTTTCAGCTTGACATACAACCTCCCCAAACCAGGCAGATGGTATCCAGATGAGGACACAGCCTGAGCTTTTATTGCACATCACGGATCATCTTCACCACTGAAGTAGTAAGTAGTACAACTCTCTGGAGAGAGCTATAGTATGCTACCTCACCTTATTCTGCTCTGAATTAAGCTGTTGGTGATCCTCGTGTCTGGGGACTGCTGCTCAGCCTAAGAAAAGGGGAGAAAAGACTCAAAGGAGACTGAACAATCCAAATAAAATGGGAATACATTACAACTCACCTTCTCTTATTGCTTTCTCCACCTCTGAGGCATTCTGGAGGTCTATGCGGAAGTGGCGGTAACAGATTTTCCCTTTCCATGCCTCGGTAGCAGGTATTCTTTTCAGTTTAAGTTCCAAAGGACATCGAGTAACAATACCTGCAGGAGTTCCAAAGACAGAGGTAACTCTCTCAGCAGTTGTTACACAAGATATACAGCCATGAACTGTGTGGCATACACAGGGTTGCCTAATACTTTACACAGAGACACAGAAAGATTTCAAGAGACATTGACAAAGGGTTCTCATCCCACTTCCCGCTCAACTGTCACTAGCACTAGTTGAGGTCAGCCATGGCTCTGTCCAGCCATGTCTTCTTGTCTTGCAAACCTCCAAGGCTGGAGATTTGCACCACTCTGAGTGACCTGTTTCAGTGCTGCACCTACATACAATGAAAACTTTTTCCTCAAGTCCAGCCCGAAAGACTAGATGGTATTATCAACTCATACAAAACCTGCGGAACTCATACGTGTGTGTATATGCACAGACATACACATACAGAGCTGGAAAGTGAATCCTCTTGAGCTGCAAAGTCTTCCAACTATCTTCTCTGACTTAAATAACATCCAAGGTTTGTAAGTGAAGATTGTTGTACATTTTTTGACAACAAAAAGGTTATCTGTAAGACAACCTTGTTAAAAAAACCCAAACCAACCCCAAAAGTAAATTTCAAAACCAGTCTTCCATGTGAAACCGATACTCTGCTGCACTGCTCTTTGCTGGGAAATGCACAGAGTCAGCTGATGCTGCCTCTCAGGCTGTTCACAGTTTGGGGCAAGTACACTATACTCTTTTCACTCCTGCTCTGTTGACCACTCAGAACACGCGCCTTGTTGAAGTTACATTGCAGTGCCCCACCTACATGTACATTTCTTCTACTAGAAACCAGAGCTGAGAAGGCCCCTGGAGTCTCACAATTGAGATACAATGTCAGTCATGGAGTTATCCAATCCTAGACCAAAAAAAGAAAAAAAAGAAAAAAAAAAGAAGAAGAAGAAAAAAAAAAGCCCTTCCACCTCATCAAAGTGAAATTCAAGTGAAAACCTGAGAAGGTGAATTCTTACCATTGCCCCTAGGAAGTGCAATACCAGACAGGGCTTCTAGGACGGAGCTTTTCCCAGAGCTCTGGTCTCCGATGACTGCAATCGCGGGCAAAGCCAGGTCTTTTTCTATTCCAAGAGCTCTCAGGCTATCGATGAGATCAATGCAGGGTCGGATCTTTTCCTCATATTGGTTGTACAAGGTATGTTCTGCTGCCTGCTAGTGTTAAACTTACAATTAATTTTCCATAATTTTAAAATAACTTTTTTCAGCAAAAAATATTTTCCAGCTCATCACCCTCCAGTAACCTTATGTACTGGCATCAAGCTGTAGTTCATATCACTGCGCATCCTTGCACCTCCATTTTATAACCAGGTGTCTGGAAATATGACACAATCAGTTGAGGTTGGCCCAATGACCATCCTTAGTCAAAATACTAAACTTTGTAAGCTAACTTGAGAAGGTAAAGAATAAAAGGAGACCTCATTACTAAGTGTGCTTTTTTAATTTATTTTTTTTTATAACTGACATTTTTTTCCACTCATCTACAGATGTACTGGAGTATGCAAATGAAGACTAGTCCCAGTAATAAGTTAGTACAGAATAGCTTATTAAATCTTTGTTTTGAAGTTTGATGATTTTGTTTGTCTGCAGGCACCCAAAACGTGCTGCTGTAGAATCCTTAACAGGGGGCTAAAATCTTTCATATCACCATGGGACTTCTTTCTTTGCCTCATTTTAGGCCAGGGTAAAGGATGAATATGAGTGTTTTGTTTTAAATAACTGATTATTGTAGTTTTTTTTTTTTAATTTTTATACACGTGCCAGATATTAGCACAGTCTCTTCACTTTCATGAAAACAAACTGAATAATTTCTAGCCCTTACAAAACTGGTCCACCAGCTGTTAAATATACCTAGCTGAAGTGCATAAAGATCAGCTTGGTCTCTTCTCCTTGTTCCTCTCCCCATGTTCTAGTCTGACTGCTGCATTTAGAAATGCAGTTCTGAGAACACCAATATTTTACAGACCCTAATAGGCCAGGCACATTCATACCTGATTTTCTGAAAAGAAAAATTGAAGTTTCCCACTATCACCTTTGTCTAAGAAAGCCACCACTGAAAACGTGTCTGTCTATCAATCAGATGTAATCAAACAGAGCAGATTTTTCTTTTAAGATGAGAAAGAACACATGCATTACCGGAGGCAGGTTTTTAAAAATCTTACTGGAAATCCCTCCCCACTATCTTCATTACAATGTTTCCCAATCATTCATAAGGAACTTCATTAACTGTGACACGGACTTAAAAATAATCTGTTTTCAGTGTCAAATATTCAGCACATCTCATTATTAACTTTTCCTTGCAGTTCTGTTGAAGGTAGCACAGCCTCAAGTAAAAAATATCTCAGATTTTAGGATTTCTGTTCAACATTTACTAACTGTTACCAATGAAACAGATACACATTGCACATTAAATTGTCTGCTAGGCTGCTGCCATCTTATTTTTTACACCTGCCTTTTTTATGACTGCAGGTTAATTGCAGGTACCTATCTTCCTAGTTACACAAATGACTGTGTGGCCCTGATCCCACAAGTGCTCCTCTGCTTGGACCTAACAAGCGCAGATTGCCCAAGGAGACAAGGGAATCCATTTTGGAGCACAAAGTGAAACTCAGGAGTAAGAGTGGGGAGGATCCATGCCCTCTTCTGGTATCTGCCTTACCTTGTCCTGGTCTCCATAATACTGTTTCTTCAACTCCTCCTGCTCATAGCTAGGCTTTCTCTCAGTCATGTTCTCTGATGTCAGATGATATTCATCTTCTGAGTCCGAATGGAGAGGTACTGAAAAAGGGTCTAAACATGGCTGTAAGGAAGGTGATGTAAAACCATCTTTCTTCAGAGCAAGTTTGTTTCTTTCAGAATGTTGTTTGAACAATGCACTCTTACTATCCATGGCCTGCTGTTTTTTTGGCATACCAGGTAGGTTGGCTGTAACCGCTTCACTAAATAGCGATGACCGTCTGGTCCAACCACTCTTTTGTACGGCTTCTGAAATCAAACATGGGGCACAGAGTGACTCCGCCTTGCAACAGCGATCAGAGCAGAGAAAATCAAACACTACTTTTATTTATGGATTCAAACCCTCAGTAGACATCAAGTGCCACAGCTCTTTGCAAATCACTAACATTGCACTCCAGAGTAGAGACTTGAAACGCTTTTCCTTACAGCTCTTATGCCTTCTGTTCTCAAAAAAAGAAGTTGCCACAGAGTAAACAAGAATTTTTTTGGGGCAGGAAAAAAATTTACAACAGGTTTTGCCAAAAGCCAGTTTTCCTGAATGAAATATTTTGCTGAAAGGTGTTCTGATAAGCTCAGTTATTATGGCAGCTGCTGGGCATGGCTGGAGAGAGTGTGTGAAGGCTTAGCCTCAGTCCCCTGGGGTCAGGAGTACAGGGCTGTGTGTTTGCACAAGGAGGGGATACACAGGTGGGCCACTGGCAATGAGAGTAGAACACACCAAGCCATAGTCTGCTATGGGGCTGAATCATCTCTCTTGCTGTAAAAACACTTGTCAGAGGCAAGTCTTACACCTATTTTAGAAGCTCACTATCTCAGTCCCCTGCTCTGTAGCTTAAAACTGTCTCCAGAAAGCAGACTTCGCTTGACATGATGTTAGAGAAGGGAGAGCTAGAAGACTTTTAGTTTTTTGTTCAGCTTTTCTTTATGTAAAAGTTTTGTTGAGAAATTTTCAATGAGTGACTGAAGAAACTGGAGGCTTTTGATGTGACATTTTCCTGGGAAAGTGATTTACAGAGAGAATGATTTGAATGATTTAAAGAAAAAAACCCCAACAGTATTTTTGAAAGCTAGATGGCTTTTAACCACCGCTTACCCCGGTCCTCCTTCCCACCTCTTAATCTTCGCCCGCCCCCCCCAAACCAGAGATGTTTAACTCAAACACTTGGGAAAACGAATTAGGGGAAACACATTTTTGCTTCAAATAAGTCCCTGTTCTTTTAATTTTTTTGTTGAATTAAGTTTACAGTTTTTCTAATTTGAGCAGATGTTAAAACAGGATGATCAGACACAATGTAAGTTATATTTTCAATGTGTAAAACAAGTTTAGAAAAAATGAGATTAATTCCACACTTGCTGTTCAGTCTGTCTTTTAAATAAAGCAATACAATTTTAAAAATATATATTCCTGTGTCCTCTTATCAAAATTAAAAAAAATACTATGGGAAAACTTCTCAGTTTTGAACAGCAATAAAAGATCACTAAACTACTTTATTTTCTTCATAGCTATTCATTTGATAATTCCCTCATCTTTCTCTACATGTCCCCTCTCTTTAATATTTCAGTATGATTTTTTTTCTTTCTATTAATGAATTGTAAGATTTTTCTCCCTTGAATGAGGACTCAGTGCTTTATCTGCAACAAACATACATTCCCCATTCACTGGCCACCATATTCATTTATGATTTTTTGTTGCTACGGGAAATAATTTGCTGATAATAAAGTTCCTAGCAGTAATCCCTTCTTTTGCCTCTCCCATTCTCTACCTTCCTTTCAATTTAGTGGAAAGAACACTTCCTATAAATTTTTAATTTAACATAAATATTATCCAGGGATGAGTTTCCATACCTTTTACATTATTATTTATATTCATTGGGCTGTGTTCAGAATTATTCATGTACTGGTTTTAGCACATAGCCTCCTAAACACGGATGTATTTCCTTCAAAGAAGTTATACAGAAAGCTTTAGCCGTCCTTATAATGAATAGGATGAAATGCAAAAATAGTGTAGTAAGGCCACCAGCAAAAACTAAACCAAAACAAACAAAAAAAAGACCTTGGAAGATAAACTTGTGGCATCTGGGAAACTGAGACTTAAGGAGTCTGAAAAAAAAAAGTGACAACTTTGAAATGTTTTAGTGCAAGGCCTATATCTTACCACATACCTGGAAGGTTTTTTAGCTAGGTCTATGGTTCAGACCACCACATGCACACATAGATAGACAGGCTAACAAAGATACCGACAGTAAGCAGTGGAATAAATCACCAGATGTGGATTTCTGCAGCTCCTCGTCTGTTCTCCACCTGGACCTGAAAAAGGTTTGACAGGTTAGTGCAATCCTTCACTGTGCTGTGCAGGCATAGTGATTTCTTTGTGTACTGAGCCTTGGCAACATCGGATAACAGAAAGAAAGGAGAGTAAAAAAAGAGCTGCAATTTTTAAGTGCCTTTCTGAAACTGGCCAGAGTGCATATGGGAAACATGACACCTGGATGTCATGTTTTATCAGACTTCCAGTTGATACTGGAAGTCTGATAACAGTCCCCTCGCCAAACCTGTCCCTGCCTCCGTCACTGGGACAATGCTGGTTTCCTTGAACCTCACCTGTAGACATTTGCCTTCCTGTGTGTTGGCAGCCTCCCCCGGCACAACATGATGCACTGCGCTACACAGCCACATCCAGATGAAGTACCAACCTGTTAATGGTCCTGCCAGGGAGCTGCCTCATTTTCCTCTAACGACCCTGGCTCTGCATCTCAAAGGATAATAATAAAATCTGCTATCAAACCCAAAGAGCAAACATGCAGCACTGAACCCACACAGCTCTTGCATTTCTTAGAATCATAGAACGGTTTGGGTTAGAGAGGACCTTAAAGATCATCAAGTTCCAACCCCCCTGCCATGGGCAGGGACACCCCCACTAGACCAGGTTGCTCAAAGCCTCATCCAGCCTGGCCTTGAACACCTCTAGGGATGGGGCATCCACAGCTTCTCTGGGCAACCTGTTCCAGTGCCTCACCACCCTCACAGTGAAAAATTTCTTCTTAATATCTAATCTAAAGCTACCCTCTTTCAGCTTAAAGCCATTACACCTTGTTCTATCACTACACTCCCTGATAAAAAGTCCCTCCCCATCTCTCCTGTAGGCCCCCTTTAAGTACTGGAAGGCTGCTGTAAAGTGTCCCTGAAGCCTTCTCTTCTCCAGGCTGAACAACCCCAACTCTCTCAGCCTGTCCTCATAGGGGAGGTGTTCCAGCCCTCTGACCATCTTTGTGGCCCTCCTCTGGACTCGCTCCAACAGGTCCATGTCCTCAGAGCTGAACACAGAGTACTCCAGGTGAGGTCCTTATTCATTCTGTGTCTAGCCAGACGACAGCACAGACTTCTTCCTCACATAGCCTGTGACTTCAGCATACTTGGGTAAACTACACAGTGTCTGGGTTGTTTGTTTATTAATTCTAGCTCTCTTCTCAGAAAAAATCTGAAGCCGTGCAAAGCTTATGATGCTACACATGAATACTGCCAGCTAGACCATGTTGCGGAACCACTGCTCTCATGCAGAACACACTTTAAAAAAATTGTTCCAGCTTGAATGCCATCTCTCAGTCATCTCCCTTTAAAGAGGAAATACTGCTAATGCCTTTTCTTTTTTCCCACCCCAGAAAACAACAAATCCCACTCCTGGCAGCCTTGTTTAGCCACACTTACTCTCGACTCCTATGCAGCCTTCTCACATGCAACTAATAAAAGGAATGAAATAAACAGTAAAAAATTGCATGATTATTTTCAGAAGAAGGAAAAGAGAAGCTTCTACCTGTGTAGTGTCCTGTAGCAAGGAGAAGCAGGAACTTTTCTCCAGCTTCTTCTGGTGCTTTTTTACTTACAGGCTCCACCTACACACAGTGACATTGATCAGGAGAAACGAAACCACATGCAACAGCACTTGCTTCAGCATAGTTCTGGGAATAAAACACATTGGTTTCCTTTCATTTCCTTATATGCAAGCCAGCTTTCCCTTTATTGTTCTGCAGAAGGCAGAAACGAAACTCCCCACGAGCACAGCTGGCCCGCCTCCTTGCTTTGCTGTACTGCATGGCAGGGCGACAGGGGCAAATGGCAGAGGTACTTGGAAATGTTGCCCTTGAGCAACAATCCCCTTTTTCTCCCCCTGAAAGTCAGCTCACTTGGATGTGGGGCAAAACCAGCCAGGTCGAGCAGACACCAGGCATGCTGCTGTATGCTGCTTCCACCGGCACTGCCTGCCAGGAATGCTGTCCCCACACCATCTGGGGATTCCTTTCAGCCTCCTCATCCTTTAATGGAAAATTCAAGTGGATAAGAGCCCCCTCCACAGGAGAGGGAATATTTTTTCCACCTCATGGAAAGACTTTCCAGCCCAGCTAGAGTGGCAAGCTGTGCCATCGCTCACCCATGCTGCGCCTTGGCACGGCTGAGGTTGCTGAATGTGGGTGACAAGAAAGCAAAGTGACAGGCAGTGTGATTTATCAGGGTTATGCACTGCTTCAGGGCAGACAAGGTCTCAATCTTTTTCTTGCGTCCTTGTGCTGTTTTCTTGACGTTACTGGGGCAGGATGCTCCCTCTTCTGTCTTTGCCCTCCTGCCCTCATTTTTTGTGTTTTTATAGGCTCTGTGCTGTTAAGCAAAATCACCTTGTTTTGTCCAGTCAGGGGCTTTGCAAGTCTGATGCACGATCAGCCCCTATTTCTCACTCTCTCCAGTTTTGACAGCTGCCTCTATCAGTTGCTCTCAGTTCCTGGTGGTTTTGGTGTGTTTCAAACCACCTTACTCTAGTCTGTGGGTCTGACCGAACAGCAGTTCCAGCATTCGTTAGAGCCAGCCCTTCCTCCTACTTCTCCTCTAGCAGTGACTCAGCGGGCTTGTTTCTGAGCTCTGGCTGCAGACACATCACAGAGAGTGACACCGAGCCAGTGCTGCATGGGTAGCACCACGGCTTGGCGTGGGCTGTGGCAGGGG